TATTGCAAAAATATAATCATTATTTTCAAATATTATCATATTAAATTTTATTTAAATATTTTAAATAATTAAAAAAGTAAATTAGAGACATATTTATAGTAATTATGCAGGCTAATTTGCCTGCAAATCTCTACCAATTAAGGGATAAGGTTTAGTCAGCTGGCTAAGCTAGCTAACTAAAACATTAGCTAATTGGCTAGCTAAATATTATACTTTCAGAAAATTTTAGTAAATTTAGCTTGTATTTTATATTTATTTATTTTTCTTTTCAGAATTTACTAAAATTAGTGCTTTTAGGTCTGGTTCAGGTTTGGTTTGGTCTGAGTCTGGTCTGGAATCAAACCAGACTCAGACTCTAAATTTTACTAGTTTCAAACTTCAGACTAAATTCAAACTTAATTATGAGTCTAATTTGGATTTAGTCTGAAGTTTGCAAACTAGTTCGAGTCCAAATATATTTATATGATTTGAAGTTTGGTTTGAAGTTTGCAAACAGTTCAGTTTAGTTTGGTATGTTTTTTGTGGCTTAGCTTACTATATGCTTATATAATAAGCTAAGCTACAAAAAAATATGTCAGACCAGACTAGACACTTTAAACCTAGTGTTGAAATAAGCTATATTTTTTGTATATATGTATATATTTACTACTTTAGCATCTTCGGAGTATTATATATATATTTTTTATAATTTAATTTATCATTTATTTTTTTTATTATTAAGTTAGGTTATTTAGCAACAATCACAATGGAATTGGAGTAGAAATAAAATCTGCTGATTTGAGCAATGCTGCTACAATATATAAGTTGGCCAAAATCACAATAAAGCATTTGAATACTATAAAAAATCTGCTAATATAGATTATAAATTAGCTGCTCAATCCTATTGAAACAGCATTGGTACAAATAGAGATATTCAGAAGGCAAATTATTGGTTTATAAAATATAGAAGTCTTCTTAAAACTAATGAATTATCATATCATTAATCTTTAAGTTAAAAGAATATTAGACAATGAGAGATTTAAATTATTTTAGAATTAATTAAGAATTATAGAAGAAAGAGAAAAGAAGGATTTGCAACTATATATTTGGCATATTATTTCAATAGAATTAATAATAGTGATGCGATATTATACTTAAAGTAATTCGTAATTTGAATAAAAATATGCAAAAATTTGTTCAAAAATTGAAAATTATAATGAAATTGGTTATAAAAATCTTTTGTTTCTAAACTGTTTAGGGGTGTCAAATAATGATCATGGTTGTTATTAAGTTTGCAATAGAAGGTTTGTTATAAAAAAACCTTGTATAAGCATCAAAATTAGAATGGAAAGATAAATTGAATATTTTGTACTGTATAGCTGATGCACTTTGCAAGAACTTCTCTTTAACAATGTTAGATTTTGATGAAAATTAACTTGGATCCAAAAAAGGAAAAATATTAGCTAATGCACTTTGCAAAAACTTCTCTTTAACAATGTTAAATTTTGATAAAAATTAACTCAGATCCAAAAGAGAAAAAATATTAGCTAATGCACTTTGCAAGAACTCCTCCTTAATGATACTAGATTTTGATAAAAATTAACTTAGATCCAAAAAAGAAAAAATATTAGCTAATACACTTTGCAAGAACTTCTCATTAACAATGTTAAATCTCAATAGTAATTGGCTTGGATCAGAAGTAGAAAAAGCATTAGCTGTTTTGGATCTTGAGTCAATTCATTTATAGAAACTTGTTCACAAAGATTTACACAACAAAAACATTTTGCAAAATAGTTTGCAAAATGCATATATTACACCCATAATTTGCAGATTTTGTGGATCCAAATTCAAAGAGAGATTTAATTGAATAATATTTAATTTAGATTCATTATTATTACCAAAATATACAAACTCAAACTCTAATCTCTTTTTTTTTAAATTTTATTGAGTTTTTTTTTTTTGAAAACCGTATTAATTATTACATTCAAATACATAAAGTTAATAGTGCCAAATATCAAACTTTATTAAATAAATAAATATGCAGTATATATTAATAGATTTGTACATGGGTTAAGAAAATTCATGTAGGAATCTTGCTTCTTGTGGACTGTAGTGCATTTATTTCTTATTATGATGCTTGTTTTCTGAAGTGAGATTATGATTAGTATATAATTAAAGTAATTGCCAAATTAAGCAGTTATTAAATATACTTACCAAATGTAAAATAATACTCATAAGTGTTATGTTAAAAAATCAGATACTTTAAAAATAACATATAGTCTAAGAGTTCCAAATTAATGTACTCTAATATAGCACATAATTTATTGTTGTAATATATATACTGTATAGTTGATACTTTATATACACACTCTATAAGTACATTTCATATAAAGTGCATATAATTTGATCAACCAAATGTAATTATTTAATATATATTATACTGTATGTGGATTATTCTTCATAAATAAATACTCCAGCCTAACTAGCTTGTCACTACATTCCTGTTTAGCTGTCTTTTCAATATATTGACTTCTTATCAGCCTGATTTTGTTATATATTTTGGTTAAATTTATAAATCTATTCAATTTTTTTTTAATTAAAATTGAATTAGCTTTTTTTTATTTTTTTGTTAGAAATTTGTACTTGGAAGTTTGCACTTCAGGTAGGACAATATAATTTAAAGTAACTAGCAGTTTTTTGTGCAACTACAATAAAGAAATCTTTTATAAATTTTGTTGAGTATGTATAAATATATTTAGACTTAAACTAGTCTGCAAACTTCAGACCAAACCCAAATGAAACTCAGACTTGACTAAAAAGTCTGAATATAAAAGTCTAAGTTTGGTTCAAAAATCAGACCAGACTCAAACTTGACTAAAGTCTGGTTCAAGTCTAATTCATAGAAACACTAATTCAGGATAATGTTATATCTAAACCACACTGGTATGGAGTGGGTTATACTTCATAGTTACTCTAGAGTATCTTACTTTATTAATATCTTTACTTGAAAAACTAGTAGCAAAAAGGCTCTACTTCTAGCAGACCTGTGGGTTAGAAGTTTCAGGCCAATGAATATGGGCTGAAAAAACATGCTAAATGCTCTAAAAAATTAGAATTTCAAATAAGAAAAAAAGAATATATATTATAGAAATACATATCAAGGCAAGACAGGCCAAAGACACTTAGAGCTAGATTAGAGTTAAGTTGTTAGTTAGAAATAAAAGATGGACTGATTAGGGAATTACAAAAAAATCTAAATGTGAGTATTAGGGTGGAAAATGAACCTTATAAAAGCATAGTAATCACTAAACTATACTGCAAGTAAAATCTTTGGAAACTGCAAAAAACTAGGCTGGCCAAAATAGCTCTAGTAGGTTTATCTCAAAGATATCATCTGTGTATTCACTCATCAGAAGAATGTAAACTAATAATTAGTCAATACAAACTTACAATAAAGCACAGGCATCCTAAGGCAAGGCTGTGAAATCTAGATGCTAGTGCAGGGGTTACCAGGGTTGCTATAAAAATAGTTATAATCAGAGGGTTTAAATGAGTAGCCCTAGTTTGGGCTGCAGGTATAGGCATCTAGTGTAAATGGCACCAAAAGCGTAGTGGCTAGTTGTATCTTCGTTGTAACTATATTAGCATGTATTTGTTAATAAAAAATCACTAGGCCAAAGAGATCACCTTAATACTGAAAAAAAATTTAGCACATCAATGTAATTCAAACCACACTAAGCCACTCCATGTGTTATGTGATGCGGCGAAGTTTAATTTTGCCGGTAAAGAAGTCACCTATACCAAATTTGCCTAAAATTGTTTACAATTTAAAAATCATCATGTATATGTAATATATATATAGTATATTAATCTACTAAGTTTATAAATAAACAATTTAATATTAAAATTTTTTTTCAAATTTACTTCTATTTAATTTAGTATAAAAAACTAATTTTTATACTGTATACCTAAATCCCTTGATAATTAGTATAATACTTTCTTTCGCAGTCTCATAAAGCTAAAAACTTTTCAATTATAACTGATGTTTTATTTATTTTTCTGTTACTTATAAGTTCCTGCAACAACAAATACCTCTCAAAATTTACCTATTATCTACTTGATTTAACCATGTTAAGTAAATAAATATTATAAATCAAGTAGAAATTGATAAATCTTTTTTATCGAGTTAAGCATTCATGTATTTAAAAATAACTTTCAATCCACAGAACAAAAAAAGCACTTACGGATCTAAAAAGATTCTAACTTTTCTTTGACTTCTTTTAAATCTGGAAAACTCTCCATTGCACCATACTTGCTTACAGCTAATCCAGCTGCTACAATTGCCTCTTTCAATGAGTCCAAAAACTGTTCAGCCGTTGGTAAAATAGGTGACTTAGTATCGGCAGATATAAGATCACTATTATGTTCATTTTTCGGTTGATTTCTAGTAAGACCAGCAACAAAATAGCCTGTAAATACGTCACCAGCTCCAGTGGTATCACACAAAGTTGTTTTAAATGCAGGTAAGGTATATACGCGTTTTTCTGGTTTAAACCAGGCCACTAATCCATCACTCCCAAGTGTAATGATAATACCAATTAATAGAGGAAATGCATTTGAAAGCTTATCCAGTAATTCAGTTGGTGATAGTTCAATAGTGACATTAATAGCAAAAACTTGCTGATATAGCTGGGTTGCCTCTAATTTGTTGATAATTAAATAATCGATGAGGTCAAATGAAAATATTTTTGTAATATCTTCTGAAATTGGTGCTGTGTTTAAAACAGTCGTCAGCCCTTTACAAAATTGTATAAATTGATGTCAAAATCTAAAATATATACGGGATATATGTAAAAACAGCAAGAAAAAAAAAAAAGTCATTTACCATGGTTTTTGCAAAGTTTCAATATCTCACCACCAACATGCCCTATTTCGTTTTGGAAAACTGACCAATCACCTTTTCCAAAGCCTTGCATTAAAATTTTTTGTGCTTCGATTGCATTCAGCAAATAATTCGTTCCTGGTAGCAGAATTATAGCATTATCCCGTGTACTTTGGGAAAGTTGAATGAAAGCCCGCCCAGTTGGCTTGATCCAGTTGATCCATATATAAAATAAATATAATTTGAAAAATAATTGTGTTTAAAACAAAACACGCTATGTACCTGTTCTTCAGATATAATTATATGTTCTACGTTCACTAATTGGCTTTTCATGTATTCTTTAATCCAAATTCCATCACGACCAATTTTTCCGACATGCCACACCTTCGCACCTGCCTGTGTGGTAAAGAAATGTAGGTTCATTATTTTTGTTGATAGCAAGGTAATAAATAACATTGAATATAAAAAAAAATTTGTAAGAACTTTTGCTATAGCTACTGATTGGTTTGCACCTGATGGTATAATTATAAAAAGTTGCATGAAAATATGAGTACGCCTTCAAAGACATTCATACACATTAATAATTAACCTTTTCCTCCAGCTTTTTGTGTATACTTGGTGCTTGATATAGTCTCACCACTAATGACAATGTGAGGAACATTGAAAAATTCATCCTATATAAAATTAAGATCCAAAAATTGTACTTGTAACCAAATAGCTAAATAAGTATTGAAGATTCTAAAAAACATTACTAACAATATTGATCGAACCAAATATTAATATTTTAGGTCCAACCATTGTTTGCGCGTACCAGGGACCTGCAAAAATTTGGATATCAAATCGAAAAAATTTATTTGGGTATCGACTAAAATTTGGATGAAATTTGGGCCAAAAGTGTAAAATTTTAGGAATATTTGGATGAAATATTTTTCGTTAAAAAAAAAAATTTATTCGATTCCGAATCTTCGATAGTCACTAAATAGTTAATTTTTATTGGTCAGATCACATGAAACCTGATCCAAATTTTTGCAGGTCCCTGGCGCGTACACATCAACATCTGATGTTTATTTTCTTTTACGGTTACACAGTTCAAAAAAGTCAACTCTCGTTTTTTTTTTTTTATTCGCTTTATATAAGCGTGAAAAGAGACTAACGGTAACAATGAAAAAATCAAAAACAATATGTACACATAAATAATAATCGCAGCTACATAAATTGCAGGGATAAGTAATTGTCTAAAAGCTAACACGAAAGTTTGTGTTATTAACCCCCCAAAAAAAGAAACATACAAGATCCAATTAATGAAAAGAAATTTATATATCATTAACGATATTATTTTGAGATGGTATACCAATATTATTAAAATGTTTAGTAGAATAGAAAGATAAAAAATTTTATCATGCTAAAAATTTAGCGTTAGTGGGATATGTGGTAGTTATTTCAACCGGTGCTTTCGTGATCCTCCGGTATTGCAGAAACGGTACTGTTATTACCAGGTATCTTTATATAGTCCTAAAGAAAAAAAAAATTGAGTAAAAAGTATGACGAATCCAATCATTATGTTTATTATTATTTACTTTAAAATTGAAGTTGGGTTCTTCTTGTGTGAAGCGATGTTCTAAAAGTTCTTCGGCTGTTGGTCTTTCCTCCGGATTTCTATTATTTAAAGAATTTAGTTGAATACAAACGAATTGTGCATAAGACGATGATATTCATCAGCGGTATCGAAATGGATTGAGTGACAGATTTTAATTCATCATCAAAAGATATACTGTCATAATATATCGCTGATGCCATTCGAAGAACAAAATTGTATATCCTTGTACAGATTCTTACATTATGAAGCATTTGTTTATAAAATCTCGAGCTTCAGCTGTCATCTCAATATCATCTTTTATTGGGGGCGCTTTTTTTTCACTTCCAAGCTAAAATATAAATATTTGATGAGAAAAATGTAATGGCTAGAAATTAAAACACTATCATAGTACCTTAAACATGGCAGCGAGATCTGTCAATGTAGACCAAGGTCGCTCATCAGTAAACATCTCAAGTACTACACAACCAAGACTCCTATAGATTAAAATTTAGCAGCACATCATCCGAATTGAGTAATTGTTTATATATTTTACTAAAAAAAAAAAAAAAAAAAAAATTACCATATGTCTACTTTAGCACTATATCCATTAGTGAAAACCTCTGGTGCCATCCAAAATATTGTACCTTGTAATGACATATTAGAATTATTATCATAGGCAAAAGCGTGGTCTAATAATAAAAAAAGATTAGTTTAAGTTAAATAAATAACTTCAATTCAACCTAAATACACGTACCACTTTTCTTTGATATTCCAAAATCAGATATTTTACAACAACCATCTTCATCAATGAGGATATTATCTGCTTTAATATCCTATATAAAAAAATAAAAATAAAAATAAAAAAAAATGTAAACACAAGTTATATCATTCAGGAGCAATATTTATTTACTGATAAAAGAGAATATATATTACCCTATGCAGTATTTTTTTATTGTGCAGGTAATGTAAGCCTTGCAAAATCTGTCGTGTGAATGATCTTACGACAGGCTCTTTAAACGGACCATTACTTCTAAGAACTGTTCCAATAGATCCACCATTAACATATTCGAGAAAAATATTAACGGTTTCATCGTTTTCCTCATATCCTGTTATGACAGCCAAGGTGAATGGCATTAGTGTTATACTCATTCAATTTAACAGTTAACAATACAAAACATAGGGCGATAAATGATCGTATTTGTACCGATATATGAAACTATGTGCTCATGATCCAAGTCCTTAAGAATTTCCATTTCGTCTTTAAAAGATTTTATCTTTACATGAAATGAATATATAAGTGTCTTAAAATTAGGAATCAAACTTAATGTATGTATAAATTCACAAACATACCTGAACTTTTTGACGTTCATTCCTTTTATCTGATAAAGTTTGCGGTAACTCGATTTGTTTGACCGCTATCATTTCAGATGAGTTCAAGTTCAACGCAAGATAAACTTTTCCGAAGTTACCTTTACCTATTAGTTTACCTTTCACCCAGTTAACAGCTATTATTTTTAGGCGTGGTTAAATAAATAATGCAATTTAAAAAAAACTTTAATAATTAGATCGTATTGAATGGTTTAAGGATTATTCTTTGAATCACACACGTTTTTTTTCGTTACAATTTTCATCAGAACCGGAAAGGCAAGGTGCTTTTTTACCGGGCGGTGTTCGCTCAACAACACGTTTGTCCCATAGTTTAGTTGTTGGCTTTCTGCTTAGTCGCTTCTCTTTTACTGTAGTGGCATCAACTGATTTCCGATTGGTATGTTCGCGATCTCTCGCTTCTCGAGCAGCGGCACGGATGGACTTTCCACGCGAAATTTTCGCTCCGGTTTTTTCAGGGACAGTGGATGTTGGCACTGTTTGTGGAACTGTTTCACTACTGGACGATGAATTCTGTGTAGATTCTTGAGCTTCCACAATAGGCATATCAAGATTATGATGAGGGAAATATTGCTCTAGATCTTCAAAAACGTCTTCGGCAGTTGGACGCTCAATCCAGGAATCTTCAGGCTTTACACCTCTGCGCTTTGAGACATGTCGTGCAAGTCTACCAACATTAACCCGCTTTTTAGGCTGCGGTGGATGATTTGATGATTCTCTTGATTGAGGAACTATACTTTGAACTTTGTCGACCTCCTTACTATTTTGTTCAGCATTTTCAGGTAAATTATTTTGCTGTTCAATATTAGCAGAATTTCTATCAAGCACTGCTGAGTTATCACTTTGTCTAAGACTAGTTTGCTTAGGCTTCTGGGCCCATATTCCATCGTCGTCATCGCTAATATTTTCATTTTTGTCAGTAAATTGACGCGAAGTATCTACAGGACTTGTGCTGTTGGATGTACTCGAAGGTTTAGGTGCTTTAGCCCATATAGATATTTCTTCATCAATATATGTAGAACTATTATCTGCTAATTTAGGCCAAAGTGGTTTTTCATCGTTACTATCTGGAAAAATTACATCACTGTGCTGTGATCGAATATCAGATTTCCTAAGCGTAAGATCTGGTTCAGATGAAATTATGTGTTTAGGACGCACATAAGGAGATTCTATTTCTGGCACTTCGTGAAGGTTCATAGACATAGTATTTTGTGACATTGGCAAATGGGGTTGTGATTTACTATGTTTATAGGAATACTGGTTATAATGCCCAACTATATAAGGGGATGATGATAAAGAATGTAAATATTGGGATTGATTATATGGTTGTGGAATAGTATTTGGTTTTGGAGGAATAGACATGGGTATTTGAGATATATGTTCTCTACTAGTGTGACGACGAATTTGACCATTTGCTGGTTGCAGAGTCGCTGAATATGGTGATCTTTGAAACCTTGGTGACGTGCTACCATTCCAATTATAATCAACGCGATTTGATGAGAAATTCACATTTTGATCTTTATAGTCCATAGAATTAAGTTGATCAGGCTGTATTCGATGGACTAATAGTTTTAAATTACCACGATCATCTGCGTTCATGCATATTTGAACGAGATCATCGTCACTAATCGCTGGACCTATGTTCAGCACAACAATAATATTAAATGAATTTAAAGGTTTTTCAATTAAACTGAATCATGAAAGGAAGCATACCTATTTCGTCCTGACCGATCTCAGCCACATGAATTGTATAATTTTCTTTCTCATTTTGGTCAATATCTAGATGAGAGAATATTACATCTTTTATCGAATTGGGATCTTCATAATCAGTAAATTTGGCTAAACGAAAGTCTTCCATGTTCTTAGTTACTTGAATAATTTTTTTTTTTGGAGGATCATAATAAGACGTATAGTCACTTGACTTTGAAATTCAAAATAATAATGTTAATTATTTTCGAATTCCAAAAAAAAAGAATATATATATACATATATATATATATAAATAAAAATATTCATACCGAATGACTTTGCGATCTATTATGAGATGTATGTTTAATCTGTCTCTTACTAGATTGAGGACTCATGTTTTTGTCTTCTGACTTGCTCATTGAATATTGTTGTATAACAGGTTGATTATGAATATTATGTGAATGCGAAACAGCAAAAGATTGTGACTGCTCTGGTAAATGTGAAATTGATACGCTCCCAACAACCCTTAGTCCAGCGTAAATACTATTTTCATGTTCAGGAAGAGCTGAATTAGGAGAAAGACTCTTATTACTTTCTCTGTCCCAACCAATTGAGGATGTTCGAGGATTAATTATTATAGGACTAGTAACTGACCCCTTTGGGCTGTAACTACGAAAATCTGGAACACTAGTAGATACTTTTAATTTACTAGAACCATTCGGAATGTTTGAAGTTGTAGGTGAATATTGCCCGATTACTGAATTAGTTGAAGACAATGTACTAGAAACTGGGCTTTGCATATTCTCAGGTGGACTCCCACCTAAAGTATGCGAATCCTATAAAAAAAAAAAAAAATTTAATTTATTTGATAATGGTTATAAAATTTGCATTCTATTGATGAAAAATAAGGGTGTTGTCGTCGGACCTTCTCAGTAAACGACTGACGTTTTGGCCTGCTATCACGAAGTTTTCGGATAGCTGTTATCAATCTAGACCGACTATCAACATCCTTTACAATATTCTTGCTTTTCCTCACGTCAGTAAGTGCAAAAAACTGTTCACCGAACAACTTGTTATCTGATTTTTCAAATTGATAGAAAAGTTAGATATCATGAACTAAGGAAAAAAATAAATAAAATTATAAAATACAATACCAACGAAAGTTTGTCTATATTCATTAAAACCGTTATCCTCGAGCCAACGCAATACTCTCTCCTTTGGCCAAGCAGAGTCTTCAATATCCCCGTCTATTGAGGTAGATCTACTTCGATCATGAGTATGTCCAGTTATATGATCCCTGCGAGTCAACGAAGTTGCAGCGGAACTTGGAGGATAATCTAATGTAGAGCGATCAATATCTGTAACTATTTGATCAGGTGGTGATTGTCTACGTTTGGAGAAGGCTGCTTCACTTGCAGTCAACATTGTGTCTAAATCACTTGTTGTTTGAAAAGCATTTGACAACATGTTTTGTTCTGATTGAAAATCATCGTGATGATAACCACCTGAAGAATGCATGCTTGAGACAGAAGATGAACGTGAGCGAGCTTCAAGTGTGGAGAAAGGACCGCTGGGAGTTGCATAGCCAGAGAATGTTGGCGACGCCAATGGGGAAGGTGGACGACCATTAGAATACGTTGAGTCGCTGTAAATTGGTGAAACGTTTTCGTCTGAAGGTCTTCTTACACCTACACTCGGAGTTATATTGGTGCCAACTGAAGGACGTCGCTGGTTGTTAACCGACAACATGTTAAAGCATGGAATTCACTTAGTCAGTTTCTTCCGTACTATACAAAATCTTAATATTTGTGTATCCATATGCCAGGATTTGAAGTTCTTTCTTACTTCGTGACACAGATTTTTTGGGGGGGTTCAGTGTTTGCAAATAATATGTGATACTTAATTATCGCATTATTACAAAATCTCCATTTGTATATTGATCATAGATGTGATTATTAGCATCATTTGTTAATACTGATAGGTCCAGTAATTCCGAGGTCTTCCTCCATTGAACTACGTAAGAACCAATTATATTTCATGTTGAAAAAATTGGATAACAAATGTAAGTTAAAAAATTAATTTTATACACAAATTAGTGTTTAGATTTTTAACGTTTATACTTAAAGATCTAAAACACGTAACGGTACTATTTCTGATTTGCTTTATATTATATTTTATACATTTTGAGAGTCAATTTTAAGTTAAACTTTGACCCGGTTAATAAATTTGATTAGCATAAAATGATTTATACTGTATATAAACCGCAAAATGCCGGATCGTCAGTACTGTTTTTTGAAGTAAAATAGAAAGGTTAATTTGGATTAAAAAATTATATAATAATTAAAACTTTTATTGTTTTTATTAACCAAATTTAATAAAATTTATTTTATTCAAATATACTGTATACTGTAAGTTGTAAGTGTACACTCCCCTGACATAAATCACCGGATTTTTCAATTTCGGTGAAGATCATCCGTATGACCTCATTGTTTTTTTTTATTGAAAATTACTATACTGGCCCAAAAAAAAATTTTTTTACGGTTTTATTCGAACCTACTAGTGTCTATTTTTTTTTATTTTTTTTTTACTATAAAACAAAGGAAACAGCTTACCTGTAAACAACGCAACCAAATTATTGGTGCTTGGAAAAACGGTGTGAAGCAAATAAGAATCACAAAGACTCTAAAATTTGCAAAAAGCACCGTTAATGATGTTATTACATACTACAAAAAGACTGGGGAAACTGTACCTTTTCCTTGTCCTGGACGACCTCCTAAAGTAACTGAACATGGTGTTTGGCACCTAACTCACATTTTAAAAAAGAACAGAAAGGTCACGTTTAATGTTTTGATAAACAAATTCATTGAAGCAACCTCCGTAGAAGTATCTATACGAATTATACAATGGCACCTTCATAATGAAGGGTTTTATGGTCGGGTTGGTTTAAGAAAACTATTTGTAGATGAGGACTCTCGTGTGGCTCGTTTGGATTGGGTAAGGGTGAAAATAGGTTGGGATGAAAGGTGGAAAAATGTTATTTGGAGTGACGAATCTAGGTTTGAGGTGTTTGAAGAGGATGGTCGTAAGTATGCTTGGAGGAAACCAAAAGAAAAATATGATGTTGAATGTTTGGTTCCAACATTTAAATCAGGAAGGTTAGGTGTAATGGTTTGGGGTGTTTTAGCATATACGGTCTTGGGTCTTTGGTTCAGGTTTATAGCAGGATGGATTCGAAAGATTATGTAGAAATTCTTGAAACTTGCTATGTACTCTATTTAAACAATTTAATAAACATAGTTAGTCAAAAAAATTATATGTTCCAAGACGATAATGCTAAAATTCACACTTCCAAATTTACTAAACGTTGGTTTAATGAAAATAGTATTCGACAACTTCCGTGACCCTTATATAGCCTGAACCTTAACCCCATTAAACATTTATAGGATGAATTGGAGCGTCGTATATGTAAGCACATTCCTCTACCAAGCGATGAGTCAGAACTCTTCAATTTGCTCCAGGAAAAGTGGTTTAAAATTGATGGTTCAATTTTAAAAAATCTTGTTGAAAGTATGCGTCGACGTGTTCTTGCTGTAATTGCT